TTCCACTGTGTTCTCATCCTGCTTTCAAAGATAAATATTTAATAAATTCTGAGCCTGTCTTTCTCATGTGTCTTTCCACAAATATCAACAAATTCACATGTGTACGCTGGCCATGCAGTTTCCAGCTCTCCCTTTGTCCCCAAAAGAGCACGCCATTTTACAGTCTGGCACATTGCTTTTTCACTAGAATATTTTGCACATCACTCCAAGTCAGAAATTTTCCCTGTTCTTTTTTTTTTTTGGTCCTGGGGATTGAACTTGGAACCTTGCGCCTGCAAGGCAGGTGGCAGAACCACTGAGCTAAATCCCCGTCCCTTTCCCTATTCTTTATACATCAAACAGCTGGAAGCATCTGTGTGATCCCTTTAAAACATTATCAAAGAAGTCATTAAAAGTGAGAACTGTAACTCTTGGCAGAGTAGCTCTGCTTATCTATATCACATTTCAATTTTGGGATAATTTTCCTGTGTGTCTCATCTCCTGCTTTGCTGACAGCACAAAAAACTGATTCTGATCATTTGCCCAGGGAAACCAGAGCTAGGTTTTGGGCTGGAACAATCCAGACATGGCAAAAGTAAAATTTACAGTCGAGGAGAAGGAAACAGTTTCTCTTTTTGATAATACCTGGACAGAAATCATGACTTCACCGAAAGGATGTTGTTTATCCAACATAAATAAGTTGGTAGAACTGAAGACGTTCCCTTACCACGCTCCCAATGAACCATGGAGCAAGGGGGCACTAGGCCCAGATGCAGACCAAAAGGCTCGAGTTTACGCAGAATGTACTGTACTGCAGGGGACTTGTGACTCATTTGAAAGCTAGACACCACTCTCTGGGACTAAGTCTTCCATCGAAATTGTTAAATAAATGGGTAAATATGTGATATGGGATAATACGTGACATGGGATAATTATGTGACCAATGTAAATAACCCTGTAAGATTAAGCTTATACCAGTTTGCACCGCATCTGCTTCCAAGCCATGCATGTCACCACCAACACAATCTGATGTCACCAGGCCCCTCGGGTCAGGAAGCATTCTAGAACTGGATAATCTTATGGATAGTTTATTCTGTCCTTTGCAGCAGATGTCCCATGGGTCACCTTAAGCTTATTCATTTAAGATCAATTCCAGAAAAAAAAAAAAGGTAAATAAGAAATGTACATAACATTTACTTTTTTTTTGCATTATCTTCTTGCAAAAATTGGGATTAACGATAACTTTGGGCACTAAAATGATATTGCCAGTCATTTATAAAACTTACACAAAAAGGCGATTCTTCTATGCTCTTCAATGGTACCTTGTTTTTCCAGTGTTTTTTATATTTCAAAAAACTTTTTTCTTTATAAACTTACATATGCTTATTATGTTAAATATCAAAAATAGTCTAACTTATTTTCTTCTAGCATTTCTTCCTACATGTACATCTATGTCTGAGGACAGAGCCTGTAAATCTCATAACGATCTTTGGCCAAAAGTATTCTGATAAAAGACTTTTTAATGGAAGATAAAGGCAGAAGATGGTGGCACACACCTGTAATCCTAGCACTTGGGAGGATGAGACAGGAGGGTCATTGTGAGTTCAAGGCCCGCCTGGGCTACATAGTGAGTTCAAAGCCAGCCTGAACTACATAGGGAGACCCTGTCTCAAACAAACAAATAAATAAGCAAAAGATAGAAGCTGTATCTTTCAAAAGACAACCTGCTCTGCACCCAAGTAATTGTGAGATCACTTCTTGCTTTCTGGGTGATTTAGAAAACTTCCTTCTCATAATAATCACGTATTCTGGACTTATCTTTTCAAACAACTACTAAGTATTAAAAAGACAGAGTGGCAAAAACCCCCTATCAAATCTGTGATCTGATTTTGTCTCATTAAAATGTCTCATTCACTTCCATGTTTCCTTGGTGTTGTTGAAATTCTAGTGCTACAGCTGAGTGAGCCCAAAATAGTCCAGGTTCTTGTGTATAACAAGGAAAGAACTGCCAAGCATATACCTGGTAGTATGTAGTAAGTTTATTGAAGATCATGGAGCATCAGGAATAAGCAGAAAGGTGAAGGGGACAAGAAAAAAAGGGGCTCAATAACTCAGGCTTCCAGTATTATAGGGTCAGATGCCACAGATCCAAGGAGCCATCCACCATCCACTGTCTCTCTCTCTCTCCCTCTGATGTCAGCAGTCTGCTCACCTCCTAAACTTAATCCTGGATCATCACTGGGGTGCTGCGTGGTTTATGGTTGAATGGAGAGAAGGGAAGTGGCTCACACAACTTCCCTGTCTTAGGATTATGGAAGCTGGACAACCATTAGGGTGGTGTGGGGCTTACAGTTGGAAGAAAGAAGGGAAGGGAATAACTTAGCTCCTTTGGTTTTTGTTTTGTTTTGTTTTGTTTTGTTTTTTTGGTACCAGGGATCGAATTCAGGACCTTGAGCTTGCCAGGCAGGTTCGGCACCACTGAGCTAAATTCCCACCCCTTGGCTCCTTTGTTTCTAACTGTACTAACAGTGCTCTGAAATCTGAAAAGTGTTCTTTTCCTTAATTAAAGATGACACTGCTGAATCACTCATTACAAAAACACTCATAGAATACTGAAGATACTGAAGCATGGGTGACGACCTTTCATTATTGACTAGAATTTTCCCACTATTCCTTCTTAAGACCAAAATATTGCATCACCAGCAGCAGAGATGTGGCAGCCTTGTCCCCAAAGCAAACTGGCTTTGATGACAAGTGATCTAGGGCCTCATCAATCTCACATTCTGGACAAAGGATGGTGTCATTAGACTGCTTTAAGTGAAATGAGCTACAGAAATCTAGGCTAACAGAACGGATAAACCATGAAGTTGTATTTGCTTTAGAAATGAACTCTTTCCTCCAGAGAATTCCTTTAAATAACCAGTTTCTTTTGTGGACTTAGAGTAATAATCAACTACATTCAAATATGCTTTTCAGGAACTTGCTCCTGAGGAGACTTCTGCACACAAGAACTTTGTTTTGCTGGGGAAAAAAAATCTTTTAAATGTTGCTATTTGACACATTTAACACAATAAACAATTATCAAAGTTTCGTTTTAATTATAGGTGATGTAATTTGGGGTTACAAGGAGCTGTAAGATAAATTAGCTTGCTATTTTTCAAGGCCTTGTTCAGACCACGTAGAATTTTAAAAGGGTAAAAAGGTCTTTTAAAGGGTATAAAGTACAGAAACGTTTAAGACTCTCAATGTAGTAGTGAAATACCTTCATTTAGGACTTTCAGATCACAGGCTATTAATACAAACTCCAAAGCAAAACTGACTAACAGGTTCATTCCTAACTACAAAACATCCTACTGTTTTAAGTTACTTTTCTCCTTGCTGAGACAAAATATCCAATACTCACAAGTTAAGGGAGGAAAGATTTATTTGGCTCACAGTTTATAGAAGTTTCAGTCCACAGTTGGCCAGCTCCAAGGCAGGGTGGCATGGAAGAGGGGCATCACAGATGAGAAACAGTTCATGGCAGGCAGAAGACAGCAAAAGCAAGCAAGCAAGGGAGGAGACAAGCCTCTTTCTGTCCCCTGTATTGTATCCAGGGTCCTGGGATTAGGGAGGGGCCCAATCAATCAGTGGACCGATTTAGTAATAACACACCCTTAATCCTAGCATTGCACCATGAATCAATCACACACTGGATTCAGCCACCTCTAAAAAAGCCCCACTTATGGCTGCATAAGGCTTTGGGAGGACATCTAGACACAGGCCATAACACCTACTATCTTCTCTCCCCATCTCCCCAACCTGGTATTTGGGGTTGAACCCAGGCAGCTCTGAGCTACATACATCCCTAGCCCTTTTAATTATTTTATTTTGAAACAGGGGCTTCCTAAATTGCCCAGGCTGGCCTTGAACTTCAATCCTCCTGTCTCAGCCTCCCCAGTAGCTGGGATTACATGCACTGGACTCTAGGCCCAACTTCTCTATTACTTTAATAATAAATTACTCCAATTCATTATGCTTATTAAACTTTTTAAAAGGTGTGTGTAAGGGGCACAGAATAATAAGATCAGGACAGGCTAAATAATTTGGCTGGCCCAGTACAAAATGAAAACACACAGCCCCTTGTTAGCATACTAAGAATTTCAAGCAAGCAACTGTGGGCTGTTAACCCAAGCGCAGGTCAGAGCAGATCTCAGCCTCCTGCCACCGGGTGCTAGGCGGGGAGGGTGCTGACTGTCACACTCCCGAGCTTTGGGGAAGCCACCGGGCCCGGCCCGGCTAATTACCCGGAAATCGCTCGGAAGCGCAGTGTTGTGGAACCACAGATTTTCCCTTTATTTTTTCCTTCCTTTGAAAGCGAGGCTTTGCACATTCGCATTTTTCTTTTTCTTGCCTTTCTTTCAACAACATTCGCACATCTTTAGCAAACTACCGGCGACAAGTCTGAGCGCCTAGGAAGGCGACCGGTCCCGCTGACTTCCGGGGCCGCGGATCACGGTGCCGCCTGGAGACCCGAGGGGGCGCCTCGGCTCGGTGACCTTTCCCGGGCCTGTCACGCCCCACGGGGCGTCCCTCTCTCCTGGCCCCTGGCTCCCCGAGCTGGCTCCCCAGCCCCGGCTGCCCTGACGCCCCGAGACGCCGGCCGGGGCTGGGTTTCGCGGGGCGCCCTCCGTGCCGATCGCGTCGCCCGCCCGCGCTTCCACGGCCGCCGGGGCCTCCGGGGACCCCAGGGACTGGGCCGCCCGGACGACGGGAGCCCCGCC